AGCTGTTGACTCAAACCGACGACGATCGATGGCAAGTGGAAGCGCCTTTGCATGAGGCCGACAGCCGTACTACAGCGAAAACGGTTAGCCAATCTTTCTGAGCCAAGATCATCATCCCGACGGATGTAACCCGCTCACCAAGTGATTCGCTATTGCCAGCTCGTCTCGTCAGGTGTCCCCTGTCGCGTCGTCAACCAGAGCTGGACTGACCATGAGAATTGGTTTTCGATGTCCTCGAGTTCAGCTGACGACGAACTTTGAAAATAGTACTTCATTATTTTCGTGTAACAACTCGTTAAAACATGCAGCCTCCAACTCCGTGACCACCCTAGCCATCTATCTGCAAATGCTACATTTTCGTTCGGCGCCCGTCATTAATGCCTTGTATTGTTCAGATCCCTGAACTCGCCCCTCAAACTCTCAACGCCCTCCTTTCTGACTTCTTCGACAAGTTTTGCAACCTCGGGTGCAATGACAGCCTCGTCGAACCCAAAGTACTTGTACGCCGCCGGTCCGGGCAGCGAGTGCCCGAATGTGCTCATGGACCAACCAGCATCGGCATATCTCTCCCACCCGTTGACGGCGTAGGCTTCGATAACGACGCGTGGCGCCTTGCTCCTGTACTGGAGTACCTCACGCTTGTACTCGATGCTCTGCCTCTCGAAGAGGCGCTGGCACGGGAAGCTGACGATGCGCGCCTTGATGCCGAACTTTTCGCCTAGGAGTGCAGCCGTCTTGACGGCGAAAACCATTTCGGCCCCAATGCCGATCAGGGTGACATCCGCATCCGCAACTTCCTGGAAAACATAAGCGCCACGTAGAACACCGTCGCGGGATGTGTGAGCGGGGTATTGTTCAAGGTTTTGGCGGGAAAGGGAGATGATAGACGGAGTATTCGGAGCGTCTAGTGCAGCCAAAAAGGCGCCTGCCGTCTCTTCGCTGTCGCAGGGGCGGATATAGAGGATATTCGGCATGGCGCGGTAGAGTGACGCGAGAGCAATAGGCTGGTGTGTAGGGCCGTCCTCGCCTGTGCCGATGGAGTCGTGCGTTGCGATATGGATTTGCTGAAGGCCTTGCAGGGCACCCATGCGGACACCAGGGGCGGCGTACTATCTTGGTCAGAGGAGCACGAAGCCAAAAGCAGGAACCGAGTACTCACAATATAAAACATGAAAAAGCTGGAAGTGATGGGAAGGATCGTGCCTTTGCTGTAGGCAGCGAGGCCGTTGGAGATGGAAGCCATCGCGTGCTCGCGGATGCCCCAATGGATGTAACGGCCAGAGTAGTCGCCATTGATCCCGCAAGCTGTCTTCAGGTTGGGCTGCAATTAATTAGCAAGCGCACTCTTGGAAAAGACACGACACAAACTTACATTTTGGAAATCAACCTTGCCCTTCCAGATCATGTTTACCGACGGCGAGAGATCGGCGGTACCAACCATCATATTCTGAAGCTTGGCTGCCAGCGGGTTGCACACCAGACCGGCCGATTTCCTGGACGCCGTGGGTGTGGTAGGGAAGTCCTCTTTGGCGGGGATGAGCGACTTGTAGTCGGCGGTGAACCGACCAGCAACACGGTCCTTGAACTCAGCAGCCAGCTCGGGGAAGTCGCGAGTGTAATTGTCAAGGAGCTTGTTCCAGTCCGACTCGAGTTTTGCACCGCGCTCCCTGGCCTCACTGAAGTAATTGTAAACTTCCTCGGAGACGTGGAAATGCTTCTCAGGATCTAGGCCGAAGCTCTTCTTGATGTTTGCGACATCAGAGACACCCAAAGCCGCGCCATGAGCTTTGGCATCGCCAGCAACAGCACTACCGACGCCGATGACTGTGCGGATGTTGATGAACGTAGGCTTCTCTTGGCTAGCACGAGCTCGGGTAAGGGCCTTGACGATGCCCTCGACATCCCAATTGCCGTCTTCGATGGTCACAACGTCCCAACCGCAAGCTTCCATCTTCGCATTGACGTCTTCTGTGTTGCAGAGATCAACGCTACCGTCGCAGGTGATCTGATTATTGTCATACATGATGACGAGATTGTTGAGCTTCCAATGGCCTGCAAGTTGGATGGCCTCGAGAGCCACACCTTCCTGCAGACAGGCATCACCAATCATGCAGTATGTCATGTTGTCGACCACATTGTAACCAGGCCTATTGTACGTGGCAGCAAGATGCTTGGTGGCCATGGCGAGACCGACAGCGTTGGCGACACCCTGACCGAGCGGACCCGTTGTCACTTCGATGCCCTCGTGTTCGATCTCAGGATGCCCGGGGCAGATGGAGTCGGTACGAGTCGAGTGGTAGGACTTGAGCTGGTCGAGTGTCATGTTCTTGTAGCCTGTCAAGTGCAAGAATGTGTATTGGAAGAGGCATGTGTGGCCGTTGGATAGGACGAAGCGGTCGCGGTTGAAGTAGTTGGGATTTGATGGTGAGTACTTCATGATGTACTTCCAGAGCGAGACGCCAATGGCTGCCATGCCCATGGCACCGCCTGGGTGGCCACCCTTGAACTGCTCGCACAAATCGGCAATGAGGCAGCGGAACGTCTTGAGGACATGGTCAACTTCGTTTTTCTGTGTGGTCGAAAGCGAGAAGGTGTTCGGTTGCTTAGCACCGTTGACGGCAGAAATGGCGTTGAGGTCGACGAGCCCCTGGTCGACAGGGACTGCACTAGGAGCCATTGTGCAGGTACGAGATCCGTTTGGTGTTCAGTGATTTTTGAGTGCTGTAAGAGCCCAAAGTCGTCGGCAGAGCGTTGAGAACGGCAAATGAATTCTGACAACAGAGGAGGACACAGGAAAGCACGAGGCAGCCCCCATGTGCATTGTAGCCCATTAGATATATCGGCAGCCATGGCTGGACATCTCTTGCTGGTGGCTCGGAAGACCGAATTGGGATGTGACACGGACGAAGTGGTTCTCAGGTGCCAAACATTACGGAATTGAGAAAGGACCTGGTTAAGACCGAACGAAAGGGGAATTCCCAAGCGCCAGGCTAGGCTTCGAGGCGGGGCAGACGCCTGAGTCGGGCTACTTGAAGTACTGTTCAGTCGGATGGTGACCAGATCGATTCTGAGGTTTGGATATTGGCCATACTGTTGATGTTGTTGGAAATGACAACTCCATCTTGATCCTTGTTACGAAGCGCCAGAATTGCCCACTCATCGTCTCAATCCTCATGTTTTGAGGCAAGAAGATGCAAGATGGAAAAAGCGCAGACGAA